AAATTCATTGATTAGCTCTAGTAGTTTTCTGGTAGCATCTTTAGGATTCTCTATGTATAGTATCATGTCATCTGCAAACAGTGACAGCTTTACTTCTTCTTTTCCGATTTGGATTCCTTTTATTTCCTTTTCTTCTCTGATTGCTGTGGCTAAAACTTCCAAAACTATGTTGAATAAGAGTGGTGAGAGTGGGCAACCTTGTCTTGTTCCTGATCTTAGTGGAAATGCTTTCAGTTTTTCACCATTGAGGTTGATGTTGGCTGTGGGTTTGTCATACATGGCCTTTATAATGTTGAGGAAAGTTCCCTCTATGCCTACTTTCTGCAGGGTTTTTTATCATAAATGGGTGTTGAATTATGTCAAAAGCTTTCTCTGCATCTATTGAGATGATCATATGGTTTTTCTCCTTCAATTTGTTAATATGGTGTATCACATTGATTGATTTGCGTATATTGAAGAATCCTTGCATTCCTGGAATAAACCCCACTTGATCATGCTGTATGATCCTTTTAATGTGCTGTTGGATTCTGTTTGCTAGTATTTTGTTGAGGATTTTTGCGTCTGTGTTCATCAGTGATATTGGCCTGTAGTTTTCTTTGTGACATCCTTGTCTGGTTTTGGTATCAAGGTGATGTTGGCCTCGTAGAATGAGTTTGTGAGTGTTCCTCCCTCTGCTATATTTTGGAAGAGTTTGAGAAGGATAGGTGTTAGCTCTTCTCTAAATGTTTGATAGAATTCGCCTGTGAAGCCATCTGGTCCTGGGCCTTATTGTGGTTTTGATTTGCATTTCTCTAATGATTAATGATGTTGAGCATCCTTTCATGTGTTTGTTGGCAATCTGTATATGTTCTTTGGAGAAATGTCTGTTTAGGTCTGCTGCCCATTTTTGGATTGGGCTGTTTGTTTTTTTGATATTGAGCTGCATGAGCTGCTTGTATATTTTGGAGATTAATCCTTTGTCAGTTGCTTCATTTGCAAATATTTTCTCCCATTCTGAGGGTTGTCTTTTCATCTTGTTTATGGTTTCCTTTGCTATGCAAAAGCTTTTAAGTTTCATTAGGTCCCATTTGTTTATTTTTGTTTTTATTTCCATTTCTCTAGGAGGTGGGTCAAAAAGAATCTTGCTGTGATTTATGTCATAGATTGCTCTGCCTATATTTTCCTCTAAGAGTTTTGCAGTGTCTGGCCTTACATTTAGGTCTTTAATCCATTTTGAGTTTATTTTTGTGTATGGTGTTAAGGGAGTGTTCTAATTTCACTCTTTTACATGTAGCTGTCCAGTTTTCCCAGCACCGCTTATTGAAGAGGCTGTCTTTTCTCCATTGTATATTCTTGCCTCCTTTATCATATTTTGATCATTCTTTATATATTTATGTTAATTGGAATTCTACTGTAAGGAAGATCTTTCCCTTCTCCCCTTGTCTCAAGGATTCTTGTTTTATTCTTAGATTGTAGTCAGTTATAGTCTTTATTTTGATCCTCAAATTAGGAGCTCTTCAAGTTGGCTCTTTTGTTTTTTGACTTGTCCCCATCATTTTCTGAGCACTTTACTTTCTGGCAGCACAGTATAAAATGTTCCAAATGCATCTTGTATTTTCTTAGCTCCAGCCATGAAACCAGCCGTTTCTCCAAAGAGCTCTGGACTTCTTATTGGTTAATCGTATTTGGAAAGTAATATCTGGATGCTAGGTATACTTACTGCTACTAGGGTGTCATTGCCACTAGACCCTCTCAGCAGAATATTTGTATGAACACATACACGTCTATATCAGTCTGCATATATACAAAAACCATCCATTTATACTCATACTTTCAATTCTAATCCAATACCACAAGGTTCACTCTAGTGCTTCTGCTTTCCTTATTTGTAACTTCTTTATACAACAGTGAGAAATCATTCAGTATAGTTTTTGTTTTGTTTTGTTTTTTGCGGTACACGGGCCTCTCACTGTTGTGGCCTCTCCTGTTGCGGAGCACAGGCTCCGGATGCGCAGGCTCAGTGGCCATGGCTTACGGGCCCAGCCACTCTGCAGCATGTGGGATCTTCCCGGACCGGGGCACGAACCCATGTCCTCTGCATCGGCAGGTGGACTCTCAACCACTGCACCACCAGGGAAGCCCCATTCAGTATAGTTTTAATTTGTATTTCATGTAAGTGAAATTGAGCTTCTTTCCTATGTTTTAAAGCCACTTGTTTTTCTTTATCTGAGCACTGACTGTACATCTTCTCTCATTTTTCTATGGATTATTGGTCTTGTTCTTTTTTCTAGGACTTCTTTTTATATTAGGGAAATTAGTTCTGCAAATATTTTTTTCTCAGTTCATGATTTGTCTTTTTTAAAAATTAATTAATTAATTAATTTTTGGCTGCATAGGTCTTCGTTGCTGTACCACCAGGGAAGTCCCATTGTGTTTTTAAATATCAAGGCAGAATGTATACTCAGTCACAGCTTTCATTTCTTCTGTGGCCAACAGTTTTCTAGTGTGTATTTTTTGTCTACAGGTAAGATTATCTGCTCTTTTCTACCATTTTAATAGTAATTTTGTATGAAAGGTTGCATTAGACTGCATAACAAAATACCACAGACTGGGCGGCTTAAAAAATATAATTTTTTTCCCTCAAAGCTCTGCAGCCTAGAAGTCCAAGATCAAGGTGTCGGCAGGTTTGGTTTCTTCTGAGGCCACTCTCCTTGGCTTGCAGATGGCTGCCTTCTCACTGTGGCCTCACATAGTTTTTGTTCTGTGCACACTTGCATTTCTGGCGTCCAAATTTTCTCTTTTTATTAGGACCCCAGTCAGATTAGTTTAGGGCTCAATCTAAAGAACTCATTTTAAATTAATCATTTCTTTAAAGACCTTATCTCCAAATAGAGTCACATTCTGAGGTACTAGGCGTCAGCATACAAACTTCTGGGATGCACAGTTCATCTCATAACAAAGGTGTTTGTCACTTTCTTCTTTCTTTTTTTTTTAACATCTTTGTTGGAGTATAATCGCTTTACAGTGGTGTGTTATTTTCTGCTGTATCACAAAGTGAATCAGCTATACGTATACATATATGTCCATATCCCCTCCCTCTTGCGTCTCCCTCCCACTCTCCCTATCCCACCCCTCTAGGTGGTCACAAAGCACCGAGCTGATCTCCCTGTGCTACGCGACTGCTTCTCACTAGCTATCTATTTTACATTTGGTAGTGTATACATGTCCATGCCACCCTCTCACTTCGTCCCAGCTTACCTTTCTTCTTGCGTTTTTTAATCCATTATTAAATGAATTGTGTTTTCCAACCATTTTCAAGTGTCTTCTGTGAAGGAAGGGCAAGGGAGACCAAGGTAGTTTTCCAGACTTCACAGTGCAAAGGTTTTCAGCTGCCACAGACTGTCTCATTCAATGTGGCCCTTTTTGTAGTTTTTGTGTAGCCCTGCTTTCTTTGCTTCTCTGTTCTAAACAGGGCTTTTGCCCCAGACCTGTGCTCTCTGGCATCATCACTAGTCATTGCACACAGGAAACATAGCCCCTGCATTTTAGGTGAGCTCTTTATCTACTTTCTTAGATTTTCATATCTGAGTTTCCCAGACATTCTTTTGGACATTCTGTACCTCCTCTTTCTACTATGTTCCCTATACCTTTAACCCAACCTCAGTTCCTTTTATCTCTACTTCTGCTCTGATTGTTTAGAACAACAAACATTTTCACTTTCGCATGAACTTCTCATCCTCAGTGAATCTATTTTCTCACCCTCTGGGAGCCTGTTTTTGCTGGTGTTTTCTGGGATCTGCTGCTGCTGTTTCCCTTAAACACTCCAGGAGTCTCTTGCCATGCAACCTCTGCCCAATCTCAGCTGCTCTTGGTAACCCTTTCTCAGGTCTTGTAGTCTCCCGCTACTCTTTGCCTCCTAGTATTGCGGAATATGGGATTTTCATGGTTTTTTTTTCCTTCCTATATTTCCCTGTTGCTTTATATAATTTATGGAGTGGGGGGCGGACATTCAGTCATACATAACTGCAGTACCTATATCATAATCATATTACTTTGTAATGTAAAATTTCCCCATTTTTCTCCATTATAAAGATAGCTGTATATTTTCCCTAATGCCAAAGATAATACATAATGCATAATCATGTAGAAAGTTCAAGTCATACAAAAGAGTACAAGGAAGGATGAAAACCATCGGGAGGCAACTACTCAACATTTTGGTAAACATTCCAAACGTCTCTCAGTTATACACAGATTTATAAGAATAAGCTCATACTATATATGCTGTTTTGTATTCTGCATTTTTATTCAATAATATGTCCCAAAGTTCTTCTTTGTCAATAGATATAGATTTACACCATTTTTTAAATTATCAGAATTTATTCTTCCAAGCAACTATTATGACCTAAGAGAAGTTACTTTAAATATATTTTAAAATTTTATTGAAGTATAATTGATACATAATGTGTTAATTTCTGCTGTACAGCAACATGATTCAGTTGTATATATATGTATATATTCTTTTTCATGTTTTCCATTATGATTTATCACAGGATATTGAATATAGTTCTCTGTGCTACACAGTAGAACCTTGTTGTTTATCCATTCTATATATAATAGTTTGCATCTGCTAACCCCAAACTCCCAATCCTTCCCTCCCCCACCCACCCTCCCCCTTGGCAACTACAAGTCTGTTCTCTATATCTTGGAAACCAAATAAAGTAGAAAGGTAAATTCTTCATTCCTTTTACTCCCCAGGATTAACTACTCCCCACAATTAACAACTATATGCAGACTCGCTCCTCTCACGTACTCTTATCCCAAGTGGTGGTGGCGGTGGGGAGCGCTTGGGTAGCACGCAAGCTCTTTTGTTCCTCCTCCGCAAAGTAGAGGTGGTGTGGCCCGAGGCTTTGCGGGATAGCGTCCACCGCGGAGTTCAAGTGTAGATCTGCCAGCGCTGAGCCCCCGGAGGGAGGAGGGGGCGGGCTCAGGGAGTCCCTCCTTCGGGGGCGGGGCCAAGGGCTGCCCGGCCCTGCAGAGCGGAGGTCTGCGGGCTCCAGTTTAGTAAAGCGCATGCAAACCCGGCCAGAAGCCACCGCACTTATCAGCAGATCTCATGATTGTTTGGTAAAGGCTCTGCGGGTCTACACAGGTCACCTCCCTCGGAACTCTGCGACTCCACGTCGAAGCCAGCCCTCGGCCCCACTGCAGTCGGGCGGTTACAGCCGCGGGAGACCTGGAGGCGGTGGCAGCGGCCCAGGAACTAGCAGCAGCGCCCGGGTAAGTCTGGGCATGTGTTTATCTCTCCGTGTGCCCAACTTTCTGATTACCGGTCTGCCTGGCCTACACCCAGGGCCTCTGTGATTCTACATTAATTTTCCTTAATCGGGATAGATAAAATATTTCATGGGATTCCAAGGCTTTTTTTTCATCCGTTTACTTTTGAATGGTTTTCACTTTTGAATGGTTTTCACTTGTTTTATCCCAATGCTGCCTGTTACCAAACAGCATGAATGAATGATGCAATCCTACATAGGGGAGTCAATAGTACAAGAGTAGGAAAATCTCCAGAATTTAGAGTTGCAGTGTCTGACTTCATCAACTTCTTTACCATTAGAACTAGAATTTTAAATATGTACTTACCAGATACATTGTTGTAAAGGTAGAGCTTCAAGCTGGGAATTAAATAAATAATTCTTCTATTTATTAAACTTATGTACTATGTTTTCTTTATATGTGACTTGCACGTTGTGTTTACTCTTTAAATATTTGACTGACCGGTATTGCAATGAGGATCAGGGAAGAAAAATTAAATCCAGGATTTCTATATGTTATTACAACTGCCTGGTGTGTTTTCAATATAATGATCATAGTCCTGTCACTTTCATGTTGGAAAACAAAGTAGTCAGGACGTTTTAAGTTTTCAGTTTATTTGATACATGCCTAATAACTTTTTAAGCTAATGTTTTATTGATGTATAGTTTAATGCAATAATATTTACCCATTTTAGGTGTACATTTTGATGAATTTTGACAATGTTGTACACACTTATAATCACCACCACAATAAAACACTTCCATCACCCTTAAGTTTCCTAGGGCCTCTTTGCAGTCAGACCCCCCCCCCCCCTCCTAGCCCTACTGGCCTGATTTTTGTCATAATAGCATTTGTTTGTATTTTCTAGGATTTCATATAAATAGAATCATATTGTACGTACTCTTGTGTCTGGCTTCTTCTGGTCAATGTAATGTTTTCTATATTTATTCATGTTACAGCATCATTAGTAATTCATATCTTTTTATTGCTGAGTATTGTTCTGTTCTAGGGATGTAACACACTGTGTTTATCCATTTGTCTGTTGGTGGTCATTCTAGTTTGGGGCTATCATGAGTAAAGCTGCTTTGAATAGGTTTTTTGTTTTTTTACATACATCTATTTATTTATTTATTTATTTATTGGCCACACCACACGGCACGTGGTATCTTAGTTCCCCAGCCATGGATCACACCCCTGCCCCCTGCATTGGAAGTGTGGAATCTTCACCACTGGACCACCAAGGAAGTCCCATCCCTTAGCTGCTTCTTTTTTTAAAATATATATTTTAAATTAATTAATTAATTTTTGCCTATGTTGCGTCTTCCTTGCTGCTCGCGGACTTTCTCCAGTTGCAGCGAGTGGGGGCTACTCTTTGTTGCGGTGTGCGGGCTTCTCATTGCGGTGGCTTCTCTTGTTGTGGAGCACAGGGCTCTAGGCACTCGGGTTTCGGTAATTGTGGTTCATGAGCTTAGTTGCTCCCCGGCATGTGGGATCTTCCCAGACCAGGGCTCGAATCCATGTCCCCTGCATTGGCAGGCGGATTCTTAACCACTGCTCCACCAGGGAAGTCCCCTGAATATGTTTTCATTTCACTTGAATAAATCTCCAGGAGTGGGATTGCTGACTCTTACGGTAGGTAAATGTTTAATTTCGTAAGGAACTGCCAAACTGTTTTCCACAGTGGTTGTACCATTTTACATCCCCACCAGCAATGTATAAGAGTTCCAGTTGTTCCATATCCTCACCAATACATGGTATTGTCAGTCTTTTCTATTTTTGTTATTCTTTTGAGTTCATTTGCACATCTTTTTTGAAATATCTATTGCTTATATTTTAATGGGTTGTTTGTTTTATTGAGTTGTAAGAGTTCTTTATTCTAGATACAAGTCCTCTATCAAATATATGTATTGTGAATACTTTCTCCCATTCTGCGACTTGCCTTTTTTTCTTTCTTTCTCCCCCGCCCCCGCCATAATGGTGTCTTTTGAAAAGCAGAAGTTTTTAATTTTGATGAACTCCAATTTATCACTTTTTTCCTTTTATTATTCATGCTGTTTGGGTTTTATTTGAGAAAATTTTGCCTACCTTAATGTTGTTCTATTAGTATCTATTGCTGCATAATAAATTATCCCAAAACTCAGCAGCTTAAAATGACAAACGTTTATTTTCTCACTTTCTGTGGGTCAGAAATCTGGGAGCAGCTTAGCTGGGTGGTTCTGGTTTAGGGTCTCTTAAGAGGTTGCAGTTGGCCAAGGTCAACTTATCTGAACACTTTATTGGGGGAGGATCTGCTTCCTAGAGCACTCACCTGGTTATTGGCAGGATTTAGTTCCTTGAGGGTTGTTGGACTGAGGTCCTTAGTTCCTCACTGGCTGTTTGCTGGACGTCCCCTCAGTTCTGCCACATGGGCCTCTCATTGGGCAGCTACCAACATGGTAGCTGCCTTACCCCAGAGCAAGCAGTGGGGGTGCTGGGGCAAGATGGAAGCCACATTCCTTTTTTTTTTTCCTTTTTTGAGATTAACTCACTTTATTTTATTATTTTATTTTATTTTTTGGCCTCACTGTGTGGCTTGCAGGATCTTAGTTCCCCGACCAGAGATTGAACCCAGGCCCCAGCAGTGAAAGTGCCGAGTCCTAACCACTGGACTGCCAGGGAATTCCCTGAGATTAACTCACTATAAAAAAACCCCACTTTTATAATATTTTTTAATTAGAAATAATTATGGATTCACAGAAGGCTGCAAAGAAATATACAGGGAAATCTCATGTGTTCTTCCTTCCTCCATGTCCCTTCCCCCAAAGACAACATCCCAAGGAACTGACATTGGCACAATCCATAGAGCTTGTTCAGACCTCACAGTTATACACACACTCATTTGTGTCAGTCTAATTTTGCAAGTGATATCCTATCACCTCTGCCTCACTCTATTCACTGGAAGAGAGTCACTATACCCAGCTCACTCTCAAGGGTAGGGGGTTACAGATGGGTTGGAATAGCAGGAAGTCGGTTCACTAGGTTTTTTGGAATTTTTGTGTTTTGGCCTCACTGTGTGGCTTGTGGGATCTTAGTTCCCTGACCAGAAATGGAACCCAGGCCCCCCTGCAGTGGAAGCACAGAGTCCTAAACACTGGACCACCAGGGAATTCCCACTAGGGGCCATTTTAGAGGCTGCCTACCACAGATGTGCAATTTTCCTCCTGTGTTTTAGAAGTCTTATAGTTTTAGCTTTTGTGTTTAGGTCTTGATTCATTTGGAGTTAATTTTTGGCATTGAACTACAAGTTAGGGAAGAATATACATTAGATTTCTATATTTTATTAAAACTACCAGGTAGGATTTCAATATAATAACGATCAGAGCCTTGTCATTTTCATGCTGGTGAAACAAGGGATGTCTTAAATTTTCACATGATCTAATACATGCCCAATTTAAAAAAAAAAAAAGGCCAGTAACAAAGTATGAATTCTAAATTAGAAGAGAAATAGAGCAGGCCTTTATAATTAAACCAATGGATCAAGAATAAACTCTATTAAAGAAGCAAATTGGAAATATTCCTTTTCTTGTCATGCCATTCTGGGCAGTGGGCTCTCCTTAAGAGAGCAGCTTCCGGGGAGGTTTGCTAGGGTGCAGCTCTCGCTGGCCTGCAGGGGAGTGGGATTCGGAACACCTGCAGAAGCCAGTCGTGCTCAGCGGAGTGGGAAAGAAACGCTAGACTTGCATGCTCAGGTACGAGGCTTTGAGTACACTTTGCACTCTTCCTCCTTCACAGGAGTATTATCCTATGTGACTCCGCTGAGAGAAGCGTACACCGAACCCTTTCTGAGTTCAGTGAGGACTGTATTCGAACCTTCCAAATGATTTATTTCCATTCTGGCCTCCTTCGTCAACCTCTACTTTGCTTTTTCTTGCCGCTTGTTCTTAACTATTTCTTTTTATCTCTTTTTTTCTTCTGAGATTTAGCACCTTTATCCACTTTTTTTTTTTTTTTTTTTTTTTTCTTTGGGTTTTCGTTGCTGCGTGCAGGCTTTCTCTAGTTGTGACAGATGGGGGCTGCTCTTCGTTGCGGTGCTCGGGCTTCTCATTGCGGTGGCCTGTTGTGGAGCATGGGCTCTAGGTGTGTATGCTTCAGTAGGTGCGGCACCCGGGCTCTAGAGCGCAGGCTCAGTAGTAGTGGCGCATGGCCTTAGTTGCTCTGCGGCATGTGAGGTCTTCCCGGACCAGGGCTCGAACCCATGTCCCCTGCATTGGCAGGTGGATTCTTAACCACTGCGCCACCAGGGAAGTCCCTATCCACTTCTATTTACAGTTTAAATGATGAGGATTATAATTTGAAGTTGTTGGCTTCGTTCCCTCGTTATTGGGCAGCAGGATTCCCCTCTGACTGTTCTTGGAATGTTGTTGACTTTCCTCATTTTGAAGACAGCAGGGACCGTTTTGTAGAGCCTGTAATGGACCTGTGTTGGCTTCTCTGTATTTGTATTATGTTTTCCCAGTAGATCCTCTTTCC